AAAAAAAATATTAATTGTAATTAGTTAATAGGTATTTGGTTAATATTTAGGTTAAATGTCAATTTTGGTCCATTAACTTTAAAGTTTTGAAAATTTTCATCTTTTAGCTTTTTAATGCACTTTTTTGCTCTCTTAATTGTAAAAAATGTACTTTATTAGTTATTTGTCAATTAGTCCGTTAAACTTATTTGAATTTGTACATTTTTAGTTCTTCAAGTTTTAAAAGATATTCAATAAATTCAACAATTACTGTGGTGGTGCTATGTCTAGCAATAGGCTAGAGGAATTCTTCTTGCAATCAAGCGTTTTGTCAACATGGTAATAAATGCCATGAGTAAATTTCAACAATTACTATATGGTAATAAATGCCATGAACGGTGGAAAGAAAGCTTCCCCATTTTTAACATTTTACACCACCTTTCAATGGGCCTAGATTCATGTAGACAACAATCTCCACCTCCAGCTCCATTGAAGTAGAAATCAACTGTAACTCCATTTCGACTATTGACACAAAAATGCTCTTCAACATTTTTTAACCACCATAATTTGGTTCCCCTTGCTCAACAACACTTCATCATGATGTCTTATTTTTGAGAGTTTCTTCCGAGTATAAGATAGGACAAACCTATACTAGGCGTATTGTAGAAATTAATTTTGAACCAAATATGATATGAGAAAAAATCATATCTCTTTGAACCATTATCAAACACCACTTCATTATTGAAACTGACATTTTTCTTGATCTTATTAATTTCCTTGTCATCTACTAGGATCCCTTTAGGCTTCCACACCATCTTTCTCATGGTCTTGTTAAGCCCTCTCTCAGGATGATGCTCAAGCACATAGATGTTGTGCTTGTTCTTCCTCCCACACAGAACAAGACTTCCACCTTTGTAAACCTTGCCCCATTCTCACTTTCCAACATATTTGCACCCTCGTGTTGTCAACTCACTTAAAGCAATAATATTGCTTAAACACTTGGGCACACATCTCACATTCTTGAGAATCTTAGCTCTCTCATTGTGAACATTGAGACAAACATCTCTTATACTTACAATATTTACCTTTTTGCCATTAGCCACTATTATTTTGCCAAGCTCACAAATTCAAAAGGATTAATGCACGCATGCATTGATGGAGTGGAGTCTAAAATTCACCTTTGATTGTTTTTCTCCATCTCAGGATCACACTTTTCATGAACTAATAATTCAACCGCATTTTCTTCAACAATATTAACCTCTCATTTGCCTTTGGTTTCTTATTTTTTCATATGAGAAAAATCCTCCTTAAACTTTGGGCATTTAAATTGTTTGTGACCCAATTCACCACAATGGAAACACTCCACTTCATTATAATCCTTCCTAGGTCTAGATTTTGAGCTTTACCGATTTCCTCCACTTCCACATTGATAGGATCTTCCCTAAGATTGCTCCATCACCAAAGCATTATTTTGATTGGCACCATCATCCTCCCCAAGAAACTTATTATCCTCCAACAACATGGTTGTGACATCCTTCATCACCAAAGTAGTCTCACCCACCAACATGCTTTGCACTAGGGACTTGTAAGACTTAGGTAAGGATGCAAGTGAAAGCAAAGCTTTCTTTTCTTTTTCTAGAATATCCTTGGCATTCA